TATATATATATATATATATATCTAATATCGAATTTCATATTAAGTAGGAAATATAACGTCGGCAAAAAAAAAAGAAAGAAAGAAAGAAAGAAAGAAAGAAAAAAAAAAGAAAAGGAAAAAAAACCAACGTGTGCTTCGAACTTTTGCAATAGTAACGAAAAACGAATTATTTATCGAGAAGCACAAAACAATTCGTCTTTTTTAGCTCGCTAAACTGTACACTGTATGTATAACACTTCTGAAATAAACAAAAATAAATTTTCTCTTAGTTCCTTCAGCCAAAAAAAAAAAAAAGAACAAAGTAGTTGATATTTTTTCTCTTTCCCCTCTCGTCGTGACTTCATCCCCTCCCCCCTCTCGATATTTTATTTATTTTTTTTCTACGAATTTGTTTCGCATATAGGTGTGGATATAAGAATAAGAAAATAAAAATATTGAAATTGGAATTTCATTCTTACTTGGATTACGCGATAGTCCTCAAAACGGAAAGATACGCCATGGAAGCTTTCATGATCTATAATATAAAAATATTATTATTGTATTTTATCGTCTTCTTCTTTGTGCGAAAATTCGTAAATCAATGCTCTTACGATTGCAAAAGTTTCTAAAGAAAATACGTAAAATTGTCCAGCAGTGATATATGACGGTCTTCTTGATCGAGAAATGCAAAACATAATCGAACGTATTTCTTTCGTAGGTAATTCGTACCAATTCGTAAAATAACAAGCCAAATCAATGGAACTACTCTATAAAATAATGAAATAAATTTGTATCTTTAAAAAAGCAATGATTATTAAATATATCTCGATATAAACCAACGACTCACTTCTTCGATCAAACATTCTCCTAAAAAGCAATAACAAAATGCGAGAAGTACAACTGCACAGGAATATAAAACGAAGTGTACTGTGTTCATATCCTTGCCATTTTCCGATGTCTAATTTAAAAAAGATTCATGAAGTTTTATTTCACGTTATTATATTAATTTATTGAACAAAATATCATTTAAATTATTATTGGATAGTTAGAGATTATTCGAATTATATTTAAACAAAATAGTTGAACACAATTTTTTCTTTATTTTCATTTTTTCTAATTTATTTTTCATCGTTCAATAAATCAGATAAAAAATATCATTTTATTAAATATCATATGAAAATAAGAGAAGATTGTAAATACATATAAAGAAATATAATATTGTACACGATAAATTGTCAGAATAAAATAATATAATAATTAATCATTTCTCTAATCACATCGAATCATAATAACAATTTGATTTCTACAGATTATTGTTAATTACCGTTAACAATTGATAGGCCACAACGCAGAGAGAACATATCAAACCTAACGTTTGCACGAACATGAGGAAACTGAAAGCTTTTTTCAAAATCATAGCCAATCTGTAATACAAATTACATTAACAATCTTCGTATATATTTATCATTATATTGTTTCCAATATAAATCTAATTAAAAATAATAAATAACGTATGACAATTATTTCAAAGAATAAAAAGCAAACATTTTTCTGTTACGTATCGATGAACAAAAATAAATTGACACGTTTACAATTTTATCTTATCATTCCTGGGGATGTGTTTTTTTTTTCCTTCCCCTTCCTTCCTTCCTACCYCCCMCCCCCMCCCTGCCACAATTTTTCTTTCTTTTTTTTTTCTACTTTTCCAACGCAAAATCGAATCTCACCTTAAGAGTTCGTCGTGTCGATCGATCAAAAGTTTCATTTCGCAATGATACTTTCCCATTTCTAGATGAACGTTTTTCAAACGATTCCCGAGAATCGATAATTGTCCGCATAGATAAAACGTCAAAGTAACTAGAAGACTATCCGCGCCAGTTGCACCTACGGTTAACAGAGTACTGGCTGGTATCAACCAGATACAAAACAACGCGTACATACGAGCATCTGTCACCTCGTAAATATGATTTATTCGTATTGGTAATTCATACGGTAACGTGCAATTATTGAAACCTGTGGAAAAAGAATCAAAAAACAAAAACAAAAGGAAAAATAACAAGAGAAGGGAGATATTTCTTTTCCTTTTTGTTACTTCGAAAGTGTTCAAGTTTAATTAATATATTAAAAACGTTAATAAATCAATAAAATTTTAATTGAATTAATGAATTATTGAACAATATAAAAAGAATCTACCCCTTTTATAAAATGAGTAAAGTGTATATATAATATAATAATAAAACAAATAAAAAAAAAAAAAAAAAGAAAATATAAGAATCTTACTGGATAAAATGCATTCGAAAATTGGTTTGCCATAAAATAAAGTAGGAACGAAGAAAAGTGACATTGCTGAGGAGGTTGTAAACATAGTTGCTGCCATATTATACCAGACTATTTTTTCCCTTTCGTAATCCGTACGATATAATCCTTGGGATATGTCTCTATTAACAATTTTCAAAATCGGTATAACGAGATGCATCTTCCATCTAAACATTAATGTTTTTAATACGATCAATATAGTTGGTAAAGAAAGTGTAACGTTTCGAAGAGTTTTCTCGAGATCGTCGATACTTTGAAATAATCCAACTAGTTCTAAAAAGGTGAATAATATGACGTAAAAAACGTAAAAGAAAAATCTATAATCGTTATGATTTTCTGGCCAAAGTCCTGGCAACGTTAAAAGCCGTTTACTCCAGGTCAATACTTTTTCATCGTAAAATATACCCGCCGCGTATCCGTTTTCCATCACTTTTATTTTTTTTTTTCTTTTTTTTTCTATTTTTAAATCTATTCGGTATGTGTGAATTAATTAATAAAATCGATAAGAGATTCGAGAGGTAGGTTAACTTTTAGGAAGGTTGTTCCTAAAAGACTGACACTTTTTTTTTCGAATATTTTTCTTAAAAAGAAACTTTCGTTGAGAAAACAAAAAGAAAAAAAAAAAAAGGAGAAAAGAGACAAAATTATACTTGATAGTTTTTTAGATATGTTATTACATACGATCACGATAGTTTCTTTATTAATGAATCGTTTACGTATTCTCGCGTTACTTTTCTACGTTTTATCAAAGTTATTCGAATATAATAGCTGAATTAGGATTAATAATTTATTCGTTGTCACGTACGCGTAAGAATAAGAAATTGACATATGCAACGAAATGCAACTTTTCCGAAAAGAATACAAATATACGTGCTCTATAATATTATAGTAGAAGAAGAAAGAGTCTCGAAGAAAGATTATATTTTCTTTATGCAGTTCACGTGACAGATGCATTTCCTTGAACAACACATATTCTACGAATAAAAAATATATATTATATATTTATCTTATTTGAAAAAACAATGTACGAATAAATTGAACAAAAAAATATTCGACTATTCTATTAGATCTATTAGATAATCATATACAAAGATAAAAAAAAAAGAAGAAAAATATCAAATGAAAGTGTACATACGCGTAACGTTATCTGAAAACCGCGATATGTTCTAGAAAGTATAGTGATTAAACATTGACCAGTTGAAGCTTCGATTAAACTATCCCTTTGATTATAAAATTTGCCAAAAAAAAAAAAAAAAAAAAAGAAAGAAAATAAAAATAGAGAAAATATAGTCAAAATTTTGAAAGAGAAATCTAACTAAATTCGAAAGTATAAATATAAGTGTGGCAACTTATACGATCAAATAAAATTATATATATATATATATGAAGGGAAGAAAGGATCATAATTTTGATCGATCGATAAAATTTCTAATGAAATAATACGAATTATGTTAATCTATGAAGAAAAATGGAGGTATTGTAGAAGAACTAAGAGCGCGTGTGCGTACTAGTTGGAACTTGCAACGAGAAAACTAATGCAACCAGTGTTATACGGTCTTGTGTCGAGTGCTAATCGAACACGTGGAAAAATTTCAGAAGGAGTGTCGAACAATCTAATTGATTTTGTTTAATTTGTACGATCAAAAAAAACAAGCCTTACAGCACCGAGAATTAGTCAAATAATATTCAAACTAAAGTTTTTACTAAAGTTAACGAGCAATGATATATCAAAGAATAACAGCGATCGGTGTGTCTTTGATCCTAACTTTTTTCATGCTCTTTCTGATTATGTATTATTTTAATGAAAGTAAGTAATATTAATTGTTATTTAACGTTAATTAATATAATTACTTTTTGTTCTAATATAATTTATCTATTTCACTTCGTTTCTATTTTTCTATTCCCTTTTTTTTTTGTTTTTTTGTTTTATTCGATCAACACATTATTACGAATTTGATGAGATTGCTTTTACGTGTTATTTTTTTCGATATTTCAAATGGGTTTCGAATCTTTCTCGATTAGATAAAAACAACCCTCGAGGGTTGTGAAATATGAAATAATGAAACGATCAATTATTTATACACTGGTTACTCATCGACTGAAAATATGGAATAATATATTGTATGATATTTTTAATGATAAAATATATTCAACTTCGAGATTCAAATCGAATTTTCATTTTTTTTTCTTTTTTTTAAATTAATCATATTAACTTCGTTTAATCTGACTTTTATATATATATATATATATAAAAGTCAGATTAAACGAAGTTAATATGATTAATTTAAAAAAAAGAAAAAAAAATGAAAATTCGATTTGAATCTCGNNNNATATATATATATATATATATATATATATATATATAGGATAGATAAATGATTCAGATAGTAGATTCGTATAACGAAGACTGACGTAACTTCATTAAAAATAATCTTTTGCAATTGACACAGACCGAGTTTATTATATTGACTCTAACATAAGAAAATCTATGAGAAATTTAAGTACACCGTTGTTGATCGATATTGATCGTTCGATTATTAAATTACTCGATAAACTAATCATATTATTATTACTCAATCATATTATCCAAATCTTGATTACAGATAATTGTCCAATCGGTACGTTTCCCTGTTTGAACACTACAATTTGTAAATTACAAAATAGTTGGTGTAACGGAGTAGATGATTGTCCTTATGGGGATGACGAAACAGCTGAGTTATGTGGTAAGTTGATAAATAATACAAAATAAACGAACATTCGATTATTTAAAAATATTACCAATTCGATCACATTACGATTATTAACTCACGAAATATTAAAAGCTTTACGTTAGTTTGTAATATTTTGAAATAAATTATTCATTTACACATTTTAGTCGATTTAAACGGAGATTGGAGTTGGTTTTTGAAGCAGGATAAACTTACAGAGCTGCAAAATGACGATTGTGGTAATCAACGTTATTTTACTGACAATTCTAATATATTAATTATTAAAATGATTAGAAATTTTGTTGTTGATTTTATTTTTACAGTGATCGAAGATATTCCCGAAGGATGCATTTACAATCAATGTCGTGCAACTTGCAAAGGATACGAAGAAATACCACGAAATTTGTCATCAGAAATCGACAGATTGTACGATAGTTTTTTTTTCATATTTTTTTATATATTACTATTGCTGTTTCTTTTTTTTTTTTTGTAAAAATATAGAACATGTCGTTTTTTTCTTTTTCAGACTTTTAACTAACAATTCAATTAAAAGAATTCCAGCCGATTCACTAGCGAAATATACCCAATTACGTTTACTGTAAGCTCTACTTTTTATATTACATTTTTAATTTATTTTTAATTTATTTTTAATACTATTCTTTTATTTGTTAGGTATCTCGATTATAATGACATAAACGAGATAGAGGAAGAAGCTTTTGTAAATCAAAAAAAATTAATTTGGCTGTAAGTAAATTTACAAAAAAAAAAAAAACCAATTGTACGTTATTAATAATAAATATTACATCATAAATATATTATTATCTTCCCGCTATATATAGTATCCTATCGAACAATAAATTAAGCGTTATCAAATTCGGAGATTTAGTTGGTCTAATTAATTTGGAAACTCTCAGGGTCAAGGATAATCAATTAGTGTCTGTCGATTTGTCCGATTTCGAAAATAGTACGAGTATAGATTTGATGTGAGTAAGATACGTGATACGATATTTTTTTTTAGCTAAAAAGAAATCCCATAAAAACGAGAACAAGATTGTATTTTTTTTTTCAGAGATTTTCGTAAAAATTTCTTAAACAGCACCAACTTCAAGCTTCCACGATTGCCTGTTTTAAGAGAAATGTAAGTCCCCGAAGACTGTTTGTTAAATTTAATAATCGAGTACGATAACATATACCTCGTTATACGTAGATTAAAGTTACATTACAGAATGTTAAGTGAGAATTATTTCGAGACCATAACAGCGGATATGTTCGACGGTGTACCTGCTTTACAATCGTTGTAAGTATTAAATTGAAATATATTTTTACAAAAACAAAAAAAAAAAAAAAGAAATATTTAACAAAAGTATCATGTGTTTTATAGGAACATGGAACATAATCATATTAAGATCATCGATGAGAATGCATTTAAGAATTTAAAACAACTTGTCGAGGTGTAAGTATGCAAAATCTGAATTAAAGAAAAAACAATTATTATGACACGTGTGATAATAATATAAATATGAGATTAAATAAATCATTTTCTTGTTTCTTTTTTTTTTTTTTCTTTCCAGTAAACTGGCGCATAATTATATCATTTCTCTTCATTCGAACGTGTTTAAAACCACGATAAATCTCACGAAACTGTAAGTAAACCGAGTTTAATCTCCTACGTGTCGTAAACATATTTACTTGTACTTATCCACGTGTATATATCATTGCGTCAACGATTAATGGAAACGTCACGTATCTTAATCAAATCAAAACTTCCTCTTAAATCGATTCCTTTAACCACAATCCTTTTCATAATGGATTATCAAAGCTCTGGTAATTACAGATTGATCGGTTATAACCCGATCGAAGATTTCTCGACTGATGTATTAGATCCTTTGGCTAATCTGCGATCTCTGTAAGTTTTCATTTCATTTTTATATAAATTTCTTTTTCTATCTAAGTTACAAATTTTTAGTTCATTATTTAAATGAAATAATTAATATCAAATTTCGTTTTGAATATGTGCCCATAATTATTAAAGTGGTCTAAGTCATATATCTCTTGTTTCAAGATATTTAAAGTATTATATTTGAATATTAAATGAATTCTATATAATATTGAAATAACAAACACTATCTAAAGTATTTATTTTTCACAATATCGTAAAAATTACATTGAATTAATTTAGTTTGGTTTGAAATAACTGATAAACTTATTTTTTTTTTGTAATTTTGATTTATGTTAGACTACTTTCATAATCATGGGTACATATCTTCTTTTTCTTCTATATCAATTTATTTTTTATTTCAGCGGTGTCGAAGGAATCAAAATGGATAATCTAGATAAAGATTCGTTCAATGTGTTCACCAGCTTGGATTTTATGTAAATATGTTAATTTACATTGATACAAACATCATTTTGTTTGTTACCCGTTTCGTTCGTTTCTTCATTTTTTGTTTTGCAGATATTTTGAAAAATTTCATTACTGTATGACGTTCGCTTCGAAAGTGCAAAAATGTGCACCAACCACTGACGGTAAGTTTGATGAATTAATGATACAAATTATTTCAATAATACATATCTTAATTTATATATTTGTATTATGATAATAGGTCTTTCTTCTTTGACGCATTTGCTAAGTACATCTATGTTGAAGGGTGCAGTATGGGGAATTTCCTGTGTAACTTTTATAGGCAATGCTTTTGTACTTTGGGAACGATTCACTGCAAAGGATGAGAATCGTGTTCTGAGTATCCTGATTAAAAATCTTGCCGGTTGGTTATGAACGATATATTATTCTACAATTAATTAAATTCTTTTTTATTATTATAATAAATCTTCTTATTGTCATTAAAAATCATTGGTTAATCTTCAACGAGAATCACCAAAATTTGATTTAATTGAAATATAATATAAATATTAATAAATAAAACACGCGTGTCTCTAGTAGCTACTGATTAACAGTACGATTTCAAACGATGGAAATAAATCATGAAAGAAAAGAAAATAAAAGAAGAAGAAGAAAAAAATTCGAATAAAAGGTAGGTAACGCGTTAGATGTGTCGAGACATAGAATACTATTATATGCTTCGCGATATTATTAGCCGATACGATTTACAACTGTGGTGCAACGATGATCCACCGACGATATGAACTCAACTATAAATCATAGAACCGTTGGTTATAGCAATAGCATTGTGCGTAATCCCTTTTACAGTGTCCGACATGCTGATGGGCGTATACTTGTTCATAATCGCTTTGGTAGACTTGCAGTTCCGTGATAACTACAATAAGGAAGCTAACTCATGGATGTCATCTTGGGCCTGCACCTTTCTTGGTGTTTTAGCAATGATCTCGTCAGAAGTAAGACCTTCATTTATATTTGCATTTCAAATAATTCACATTATTATATTGAAATAATTTTTATATAATATATTAAAGAGAGTTGGTAGTGTAAATTAAACAAAATAAATATAAAAAAAAAAAAAGTAGAACGTGGTCACATCTATGCTTCAATTAATTATATCTAATTGGTTAAACGTTAAAACAATTTCAAAGGTATCCGTGCTGATCCTATCATTTATGTCTTGTGAACGATTCGTACTGATTGCCGCACCGTTGAAAGGTCATCACGCTATGAAACCACAGACAGCTACGGCATCGATAATGATCATATGGATCATCGGTTTTATCCTCGCTGTTATTCCAGGTATAATACACGTTATGATTCAATGTTCGTATATGGATTACACGTCTGAGCTAAAATAACCCTGTCCTTTTTCGTTTTAACTTTTTCACACTTATTACGATCGTGTATGTATATATATATATATATATATATATATATATATAATATGACTGGTCGTTTAAATAAATTGTTTTTACATTTTTTATCGAACGAAATTTTCCCTTGAAGTATTTCACACACAAACACGTTTTGTCTTAATATTTTATATTGCATCAAGTTATCGATTATATTATATGTAATTTGAAACTAACTAGTATATCACGTTATTAAAGATTCTTTCTTTTTTTTTTCTTTTTTGGAAATCAAATAATTTAATGACTATGTTTTAATACAGTTATTCATTGGAGGAACAGTACAAGATTTTATGGGGCGAATGGAATGTGTTTTCCTTTGCACATAGAAGATCCTTATTCGATCGGATGGCAATATTCCGCATTCATATTTTTAGGAGTTAACTTGTTAGGGTAAGACTCAACTATACCGTTAGAAAATAATTCGGTACTTAATCGAAGTAACTCGAATTAATGTGATTTAACCGTTTAACCAATGATCCGGATTTCATTGAAACCCGATTAACATTTGCAGACTGATAACGATCGGCTACGTTTACGTTGGCATGTTTGCAAGCATTTGGAGAACTCGTCACGCAACCCCATTATCAGCTGGCGATATGGAATTTGCTTTAAGATTCTTCTTGATCGTCTTAACGGATGCAACTTGTTGGGCACCGATTATCATTTTGAAAATCTTAGCTATGATGAAATATCCTGTACCAGGTATATAAACCTATCTTATATTCGATCATGGTGATATATGATGTAAAATAGTAATGATAGTGCTCTGATAAGATTTTTTTTTGCACTATAGTGTAGATATTAGTAGGATATATTTGCTTTTACGATGATAATAATGATGATGATAATAGTAATAATAATTTCCTTTTAATATCATACATGTAGAAATATTCACGTTGAAAGGTAACAACGATGAATGAAATCAAACATAATGTAATTAATGTAATTAAGCACTATGATTACTATCCATTTACTATACCGACATATTCACCGATCATTTCTAGATCTTCCAACGATCACACTTCCTTTTTAGCGGAACTTCATGCCTGGGTCGTCGTATTCGTACTTCCTGTTAACAGTGCAGTTAATCCACTTTTATATACATTCACCACACCGAAATTTCGAGAAAGATTAATTTGCTTTAAATTTTTAAGCAAAATACGAAATTACGTATCGAGAAAACATTCGTCCCAAGGTTTGTAATATTTAATTAATAAGATCAAAGTATCTGCGAATTGATGCATCTTTCTAATTTTAAATATCATTAATAATATCTCACATTAAATTACACAAAAATGATTTTCTTACAGAGTCTCAAATGTCTATTACATTAAGTAGTAGGAATTTAATGTTTTCGATATCATCGAATAAGAAAAATGATTCTGAGAAGATACCACAATTGGTGATAGTAGAAGATGATTGGAACGATGATATTATGCGGCGTATCGTGAAATAATATCGTTCTATTTAATATTTTTATCGTAGATCATCAATTATTAAACGTCTACCATGATCCCCATCTAACGAGATTTCGGCAGAGAGATTATAATCAAATTTGAGATTGTGCCATGTATTAGAAAATATCGTAAAACGAAGCTTCGTACAATTAAACTCTATTACAATATATATATATATATATAAATATTATATGTATACGTATGTGTGTAAGTAAGTACGATCGTAGAAACATTTAATGAAAAATTCGAACTTGTTTCAAGCAGAACCGCGAGGATATCCGCCTACGTTGAGATCATGCTTTATGTCGTTCATAAAATATTCTAAACGAGGGATCGCAAATGCATTTGCTAAATTTATGGCACCGTCTCAGATCTATCGGGGAATCGTGTTCGACCTGGCAACTCCGTTAGAAGCAAAATATACTTTACAAATATTGCAGCCACTTGTTGTACCCCTTACCCCCTATCTCTCTCTCTCTCTTTCTATTTCTTTTAACAACTACATAATTCATAATTTTTTAATCGTTATTGAAAGAACGAAAGATATGTCTTTTGAAATATTTCCTTAAGTTCAGTGTTACTAGATTTAATATATATTTATACTAACATATTTTTACTATTAACTATATTTCCGTATAAACATTACAAATTAATATAACATATAACCAACAAAATAATTATTACAATTTCCAACGAAAGTTTAAACAAATCTTATTAATAACTTATCTCGCAGGAACTTCTCTCTCTCTCTTTCTATYTCTTTTAACAACTACATAATTCATAATTTTTTAATCGTTATTGAAAGAACGAAAGATATGTCTTTTGAAATATTTCCTTAAGTTCAGTGTTACTAGATTTAATATATATTTATACTAACATATTTTTACTATTAACTATATTTYCGTATAAAYATTACAAATTAATATAACATATAACCAACAAAATAATTATTACAATTTCCAACGAAAGTTTAAACAAATCTTATTAATAACTTATCTCGCAGGAACTTCTCTCCCTCTCTCTCGATTAATTATCTTAACCGAATCGTTAAAGACGCATCGATGAAAAATTAAATCGCTTATCGATTTCGTGCCAACGAGCCGGTTAATCCCATTAGTTCTTCGAGTATGGAACCTTGGTTCGCTAAGTTAAAGGTGTAACCCGGTGAAACGATCGAAACCGACGTGACTGCGATCGTAAATCATTGAGGCAATAGAAAAAAAAAAAAAAAGATAGTGAGAGAGAGAGAGAGATTAACAGAAAAAAAAAATATTAAAAAAAGAATGGTTCGTCTTAAGAATCATCGTTCAAGTGACCGATGACACGTTTATAATTTATGGTGGATAGTATACACATATATAATAAGATCCCGTTAAAAAAACCTTGATACTCGAGATACTCTTTTAAAAGTGATTTTCGAGTTCAATATAGTCTAATGTAGACTATATCAGATTTGATTATATGTATGATATGTGTCACACATATGTTAGACTAAAATATTTTTTCTATTATCGTAATAAGTCTTGTGATATATTTTTTCTTTGTGCATAAATCATCATAAAGATGATAGAAAAGAAAAAGAAATGGTTCGTTGTAGGAATGATCATCGTTCAAGTAACCGATGACATGTATGTAATTTATGTTAGATAGAATATAAGTGGATCCCGTTTAAAAAATGTCTTCATATTCGAGATACTCTTTTTCCAAGTAATTTTCGAGTTCAACTTTACGTTATGTAGATATAATATACAGTAAATTGATTATACATGTATATATATATATGTGTTACACTGTAATATTTCCTATTATCGTAATAAGCCTTGGTATCTTTCTTTGTGCAACCTTCTGAAGGTCTTCATCTTAAAGTTTCTCATCGAAATTACTATGTAGAGTCGGAAAGAGAGTGAAAGGCCGCTCCAGATTCGTTTGCCGATTCGAAACGAGAGTGTTGCACTAAGAAAGAGTATGTTCAACCAACAAGGAGGAGAATGATGATGATGATGATGATGTCGAAAGCGCATGCCACCGATTCCGTTCATCATATAACTCCGATCGTGCGAACGAAATAACTTCTTCTTTACTGTTACGAATAATTTTAAGTGAAAATTCTATCTTCATACACATATGTTATTTATTTTGCTTATATACGTTATTTAAAATAACAGATTATGTGATTTCAATAAAAAATATTTCTTTAATTGTAAGAGAGAAAAAAATGTACTACCCTTTATTACTGACTCAATTGCATTCCTTTCTTTTTTTTTAAAAAAATCTAAATTTGCATTTATGTTGATAATTGTAGAAGAAATAATGATATGATGATTTTTAAGAATACTTTTTCATCACACGCACGATTCATCGTTGCAATGAATGATCTTGTGTAAAAAAAGAAATATATATTTATATCCGTGTTAATTCGAATAAGTTGATACTACTATTAATCTTGAAGAAAGGTTGATATTTACAGTGTCTCCTAAAATGAAAATGAAGAAGAAGAAGAAGAATAAGAAGAAGAAGATGAATAATAAAAAGAATAAGAGATGGTTTACCGTCTACTCGAAATGTATATTAGCCGATAAATATTCTCTGAGAAAGAGAAATAGAAATATAAGATTCAAATAAATGGAATAAAAGAGAAAAATAGATAAACGCCTACGACGATAATGTAGTGTTAGCGAAGCGTGACTCTTTGGCAAATGCGACTGCTCTCAATTTAGAGAATTGATCGCGAACTAAAGCAAAGCAAATCGGCTAGCCGACGTATTAAATACTCTTTAACGGCCAACCAAACGTTTCCTGGAGAAGATTTTAGAACATTTGAGATGGACCCCGTACAACAAACTAAACGAAGATTCTGTCGCCAAAACACACGAAAAGCATTGGCCGTTGGTCATTAAATCACGTTACTACTACTTACAAACATTTATAAAGTATACATACACAATTAAACGATTTCCGCATTGTAACTACTCTTCTTGGTATCTCTCTTTAAAGCACGTTTAAATTTGTTTAAGTATCAGGGTTAATTAAACACGCATTTTTCTTGCTTAACCACGGAAGACTATGCAAATCGACTACTACTATCGTGAATGAACCTATGATAAGATCGATACTCGGTTACCTTTCTAACGTTAACGCGCGTTCAGACAAAAAAAAATGATATAACTCAAATGAAAAATCGATAAATATCTAATAGAAATCTTTCTGATTCAATCTCTTCCGTATATTTTCTAAGGGAAACAATTAATATCTAAGACATTAAGTTCATTTGTCTTTATGAATTATAATGTTAATGTATCTAATATATTCTACTTGTGTTATAATCTATCCCTTCCTATTTCATTCTATCTATCTATCTATCTTTCTTTTTAATAGACCGTTATTATTAATATAAGTATATCAAAAGAACGAGTGTAACTTTAAATCAAACGTTATCAAGATCAATGGGGGGTGCATTGAAGAAGAGATACTTGGTTGCCATATACTCATAGTTATCCAAAGTAGATACATATATACATATATATATATGTACTTATATGTTATATATCGTTGTGTATGAACTCCCGAGAGATTTGTTTTACATTCGGTCAAAGGAAATACGCAAAATCAAAGGCGGAGGCGGCAAAACGTTTTAGCGTGCAAGTTTGAAACTTTTACGGACGGTTAGCCGACGCGGAACGGTATTCGAATGCATTTGGATAATTTAACCGGAGAACGAATGGAGCCCCTAACAATAGGTTTTCAAGTCCGCTTATCGTGTTAGATCGGACAAGCTGAACCTCTCTCGCGTGGCACGCCATGCTATGGTTTTATAAGCTTTGCTATACACCCTGGAGAAAGTACTCGATTATATCGAGCAAAGATCAACTATGACCTCAAACAGCAGCCTCACGTCGTGAAATGAAATCGTATAGGTAAATCTAAATCTAAATAAAAAAAAAAAAAACAAAGAGCATCTTTTTTTTTTAAGTTCGACCCGAAACCGTGTGCTCAGATTTTTATTCTAATAGAAATAAATGAATTTGGAAATTGAATTTTTGGAAAAGAATATATTGGGGAATACACAATCATTTTTATTTGAAATGAATTATTCGAAGACCGATATATAATTATTCGTTCGATAATAAATTAATATATATAGAAAATATATATTAGAAAAAGCGATCTATTCGAGTTATTATCGAACTCGGACGTTATAATAGTATCGTGCGTTTTATTGGAAAGGGGCAAGGCCGATCTGTTCTAAGAGACCATACTTGCAGCACGATTTCATTATCGATCGTGACATTTTGCTTCCTACTCTCGATCTATTTCTCTTTTTAGACATATAACAGATAGCTAGCTAGCTAGCTAGCTAGCTAGCTAGCTAGCGATGTTACTAGGGTAAGAGTCGATACTAGAAGAAGAAAAGTCGAGGACATAAAGCACCGAGCTACATATCTCGAGATTCTTGAATAGACACGAAGAAGGGGAATCGTTCGTAAATCGTTGCAATAACGATTCGCCGATTAGACGTCCAACAACGACAACAAAAATTATTTTATCGATCCACCCTCTCTCTCTCTCTCTCTCTCTCTCTCTCAATCGTTTATAAAACATTAACGATCTCACGATGGATTCTTCGAGCGAAAGTCTCCTCGTCGTGATCTCAAAGCCAATCTACAAACACACATACACACACACACACCACCATCGTCGTTGGAATTCTGGAAGCGTGCCGACTCCCTTCCACTACTTAAATCACACAATTGTTCCGCTCGAATGCTTTCCAGGTTCTTTGAAATTGCTGCCTGGTGGTTATCGATCGTGCTGTGTCATAATATTCTACTGCGGTAACTGCTTCAGGCTTTTTAATATCAAGAAAAGAAAGACACAACACCCTTACTTTTATCGATTAGATATTTTGATATTCTATGTGGTATCTATACGTAGATATAATACAAAAATGACTTATATATCATCATGACGACTTAATTATGTCTCACAATTAAAAAAGATCAAATTATTATTCTACTATCAGTTTTATTATTTATTTAATAGACTGAGTTGAGTTACTTTTAGAGAGAGAGAGAGAGAGAGAGATATCGATTATTATTATTGTCTACCGATTAAAGAAGAAAAAAGATTTCTTTCCTAACGAGTTTAAAACACAAAACGAGAGAGAGAGAGATATGTATTACCATTTGTATCATATGAAATGGAATACCTTCTCTTCGAAGAGAGATAAATAAAAAAAAATAAATGAAGTTAAAAAATAATATGAAAAATGTCAAACGACGGTGGCAATCATCGTATAAAGAAAAATCGACAAAGGACAACTTGCACACAAGTTGAACCCGATTTACAAGTTAGAATTGTAGGTTAGCATTATATCGTAGTATAGAAATGATTACTTTCGAACGATAGACGAAGGCGCGTGCCATGTTTCTCGAAGACCATGGGG